CAGGATGGTGTAGGTGTTAAATGGCAAAGCCACAAACTTTGTGACTGAAAATCCAGGCTTCCCCAACTTCACTAGAAGTGGTCCACAGATTTACCCTGTGAACTAGAGCTCTTTTTATTTAAAAACAAAAACGTTTTACAACACTCTGGGGCAGGCTGGAGCTCCCGGTTACCGCTCTCCTGACACGACAGCTCCCGCTCCGCGCTGCTGCGGGCGGCAGGTCACCGGCCTGGCTGCGGGACGACCTTCCCGCACGACCTCGGACAAGGCTCCGCCCTCCCGGTGAGGAGAGGCGGTGCGATGCCAACCACGGTTAACGCCCCTTCCGGCCTCCCCCCAACGCCGGGTGAGGATATTAGATGGATTTCAGAGACGGAGAAGCGGCGGCTGGGAGTCAGTGTCAGTGCCACCCCCTGCTGGGGCGCCGCGGTCAGCGCCCCCCCCCCCGGCCCCGAAGCCGCCCCGCCCCCAGCCGTGCGCGAGCCGCGGAGCGCCTGCACGGGGCGGGGGGGAGGGAGCGCCGCGCGCCACGTCAGGCCGGTCGGGCCTGCTCCGCCGCGGGTCGCCATGCAGGTCTCGCTGCGCCAGTGGCGCCGGGCCGCCACGCTACTGCTCGCCGCGGGCCATGCCCCGCCGAGCCCGTCCGCCGCGGCCGAGGACTACGAGGTGCTGCTGCTGCAGCGCACCCAGAGCAGCAGCTTCTTGCCCGGCGCCCACGTCTTCCCGGGCGGCGTCCTGGAGGCCGCGGACTGTTCGACCGACTGGCTCGCCGTCTTCCAGCCCCACCACGGGCCGCCGAGCTTTGGCCTGGCCCTCTCCGGGCCCAGGGAAAACTACCCCGAGGTGGCCTTAGCGCCCTGGCCTGGTTGTCGCTCGCTCATCCCCGACGACGTGGCCTTTCGCATCTGCGCTATCCGGGAAACCTTCGAGGAATCGGGCATCCTCCTGCTGCTCCGCAACGGCGCCAAGGCCCCGCACCTGGCCCGAGCGCATGCGCCGCCCGCCGACCTGGCGGCTTGGAGGGCCAGGGTCAAGGAAGACCCGGGCCAGTTTCTCCAGCTGTGTCAGCGCCTGGGCTGCGTACCCAACCTCTGGGCCCTGCAAGAGTGGAGTAACTGGCTCACGCCGTTTGTGAGGAAAGGAGGGAGGCGCTTCGACACGAGGTTCTATGTCTGCTGCCTGCAGAGCAAACCCCAGACCTTCCTGGACATGCTAGAAGCGATTAAATGCGAGGTAAAGGGGAAACTCCTTCAGGACTCGGCTAAGGAGAGCTGTCAGGGGAGGGATGCTCTCATAAACAAGGGCTCCGGAAGCATCCTAGCTCCTAAACACACAGAAAGCCCGGGACGGGGAGGAAGGAACCCCTGGCACCAAGAGTTCTGACTTGTCACTATGGATATGGCATTTCCGCTTCCTGAATCTCATCCTCTTTTCTCATCCTTAAAATAATACTCTCTTATGGACATGTCTATTATTTGGAATCATAGTTGTCATTCCTTTTGGGGGGTGGATAAGGAATTGCAAGCTCAGTGAAGATAGAGGGGTGTAGTAGTGGCATGCGTGCAGGATTTGGAGTTATGAGATCTGGGTTTAGATCGTAATTCTTGACATCTAGTTGTGTGACTACTGGCAAGTAAGCCACCAAATCTCTAAGTGCCCGTTTCATGGTAAAATTGGGGATAAGAATGGTTGTATGACTTATGGCTAAGGACTTGATTTAGTGGATAGAGATCTGGTGCCCAGTCCTTCCTTTGAGGTCTAGTTGTATGCCCCTCCATAAATCACTTAACTTTTCAGGGCTTAACACAGTGCCTGGCACATAGTAGGTGCTCATTAAATGTTTATTGAATTGAATTAAATCGCTGCTTTTAGGCAACTGTAACACTAAGGAGTAGAGAAGGGACTTAGCAGGTTGTTTCAAGAAAAGTGCCTTTAACCTTCAACATATGAGTTATCTCATACCCAGCTTGGCATAGAAACTTAATAAATGCTTGTTCAGTTGAATTAATGCAGTGAACTTTTAAGATCTCTTTCAGCTCTAATTCAGGATGTTCAACACAATATAATTCAAATAACAAATACAGTCCTTGCCCTTGAGGATTTATTTTCTACTGGAATGTTCCTACTCATTTGCAGTTAAGTATAATATAAGGTTGGGGCAGCTAGGTGGCAGCGGATAGAACACCTGAGCTGGAGAATGAAATGGCAAACCACTGCACTATCTCTGCCAGGAAAACCCCAAATGGGGTTACCAAAAGCTAGACACCACTGAAAAAACGACTGAACAACAACATAATACAGGGAGAGTGCAAAATACAGATCCATTATTCCAGTTTTGCACAGGTGGAGAGCACATGAAGGGGAACGAGATAAGGCTGGAACTATAGATAGTAATGCCTTCAGTACCCAGTAATGGAATTCAAACTTTAGTGACTTTTTATTGCCTATAAAATAAATAAAGACTTTTGAATAGAGGAGTGACACTGCTGTTTCTATGCATAAAGGTAATTCTGATGACCTTATGGAGTATAAATTAGAGGGGAGCCACAGGAAGACTATTGTGGTAACCCCAGGTGAGTGGTAATGAAGGCATTAGTAGTGAATAGTTTTAATAGGAATAGAAAGGAAGGAACCATTCAGTGATTATTGATTCTTGCCTACAAAATATAAACAGAGGTCTATAATTTTAAGGTTTTAAGTGATATAAGTTTGAATAGTGATTTATTTACATCATATCCAGCTGTCTGTTGAACATCTCAAATAGGATGTCCTATAGGCATCTTAAACTCAACATATCCAAACTGTTGCCTCCAACATGGATCTTTCTAAGTATACTTGATCTGTCTCAGTTGATTTTCCCATCTCTGTTCCCTTTAGTGCCACTTACACTGCTTCTATAAGCACATCCAGGAGTGGGATGATGGAATCCAAGGGTGGATAGCTGTGCTTAGTCCTTGATGGTGAAACAGTTTAATATAAATCTTTGTAGAACTTTTCCATTTTTCTTTTTTGTTGCCTTTCTTTCATTTTCATCTTTAAATGGCCTCCTATATATAACTTTGCTTAGTTGTGTCTCGCCAGGCCATCTTTAAAATTGTTTTATCCTCTATTGCTTCTTCCTGCTTTATGAGCCAGTACTGCTCATAATCTTTCTTTCTCATTCTTGGTAAGATTTTACAAATGGGTTTGTATTCCAAACAGGAATTTCCTTTGTCTGCCTTCTGTCTCTGCTTGGCAGATAAATGTTTTAATTAAAGTGCTTTTTAGGCTCTTTAACTCTCCTTGTTATGGCAATTGTTCAATGTTGATATAATTTCTACTATTCTACTTCATTCCACTTCTCTGCTATTAATAACTTATTTAAATAAGTCAGAATTTGTTTCATTTATATGTCTCATGGTTTTATCATTAACATTCTTCTATTAACTTTATACTAATTCTTATCTTTTCAGGGATGACTTCAGTTATTAACAGTAGTCTTCTCTCTGTTAAACTATAAATGTTCATTTTTTTCTGATGTTATTCAGTGTTTATCATGTCTAGTATCTACCAGTTATTTCCCTGAAGAAAGACTTCTGTGTAATATACAAATATTTGAGTCCACTCCACATTGACTCCACATTTCTTTTTAAAATATAAATTGATTGTTTCTCTGTGCATCTACATTTGCCTTCTCAGAATTTCATTTTTGAGCATCTCCCATTCCTTCTGACCAGACTTCTTTTGTAGAATTTTAGTCCATGGGATTCTACCTATTTCCTCTAAATACTTTGAAATCTGCTTTCCCAAAATCCAGTGGTCCATCTCACTTTTCCTCTTCTTAGTTTGGACATGTTGAGTTTAAGATTTTTACAGGACATTCAGTTTGAGATGTCCAGTAGTTGGAGACCTAAGACTGAAGGTCAACAGACAGGTTAGGCATGGATAAGTAGATCTGAGAATTATCAGCATAGAGATGTTAATTGAATCCAAGACAGCTGATAAGATCACCAAGTGAAACAGTATAGAGGTAGAAGAGGACCCAGGACAAAGCTCCATGAGATACCCACCATTAGTAGTTGTGACTTGATCCAAGATCGAGCAAAGGAGCCTCAAAAGGAGTGGTCCAGTGTCACTGGCCTCCTTGCTGTCTCACACACAATATTCCATCTCCCAACTGAGCATTTTCACTGGTTTTCCCCAGTTCCTGGAATGATCTCCCTCCTCATCTCTGCCTCCAGGCTTCCATGGCAAGCCAGGATAGAGTATCGCCATGCAAACCTATAGGAAGAGGAGTAATGTAGGATAAGCCTAGAAAGATTGGGTTGGGCCAGGTTGTGAAGGACTTTAAAAGCCAAAAGAGAAGTTTTAATTTTATCCTAGAGGCAACAATAAGCCACTGGAATTTATTGAGTAGAGGAGTGGCATAGTCAGATCTATGATTAATGACAGTCATTCTGGGAGCTGATTAGTATTCAGTGGTGTGGGAAAGGACTTGAAACAGGGAGGCTAATTAGTAAGCCATTTCAATAGTCCAAGAAGATGATTGGGGGTGAAGATGATGAGGGCTTCAACTAAGGTAGTGACTTTGTAAATAGAGATTCAAGAGAGATTGAAATAGAAGTGTTAAAAAATCTATTGGTTATGTGTGGTGAAGGAGAGTGAATGATGTTGAAGATACAAACTTGGGAAGCTGGAAGGTTCCAGAGAAATGAGAAAGTTTAGTGGAAGGGAGGGGCTGTGTGGGAAGATGATGAGTTCTGTTTTGAACAGAATGAATTGACCAAATAAATTAACAGATAATGAGAAAGGCAAAAAATTCATTTGCCTTGTGTACCTTTTTAACTGTCTGAATTGCTACTTTTGACTTTTAGAAACTATGACCTTTGTCTTTCACAGTGGATAACTCCAACAGGAGCAATAAAAAAGTTCGCATATGAAGAAATATGGTTGGCACCTCCTCAGTTCTATGAGATAAGAAGACTTAAAAACTTTGCTTCTTTATTGGACTTGCACAAATTTTGTTTGGACCGGAGTTCAGAAGGATGTGAAAGATGGCTGCCAATTACATTGCTTACCCTAGATGGTGCCATGCAGCTCTTACCAGGTAAATTGATCAATTTAAAATATTTTTAAATATTCTTATTGGAATAAATATAAATTATTAGTAATGCCACATAAAACATTAGCTTTGCAAAGTACATTTTAATGAAGTGCAAACTCTGCTAAATGTCCTATATGTTTAGAGAATAAATTAAGGCCAAATACTTTATTATGTTCCTAAAATTTCATTTTACAGTTTTGTTTCATCAGTTAACATCAATTAGCTTTTACAAAGGGTTATGAGATATAGTACATATATGCAGCTAGGTGGCTCAGTGGATAGACCATTGGGCCTGGAATCAGGAAGACCTGAGTTCATATTTAGCCTTAGACACTTACTAGCTGTGTGACTTTGGGCAAGTCACTTAACTCTGCCTCAGTTTCCTCATCTGTAAAATGAACTGGAGAAGGAAATGGCAGTTATTTTTCCCAAGAAAACCCCAAATGGCATCATGAAGAGTAGGACATGACTGAAAAGACTGAACAACAACATGTATTAAGAAGATAAAGTATGACAAAAATTACAAAACATTCTCCTCTATGAGCAAGGGCGGGAGAGGGAATGGTCATCGTTATACTCTGCCATCTATCCCTTCATTTTCTGAGAAGAGTGGGCTCACACTTAAAGCATTCACCCCACCAAGCTCATTTCCACAAGTGGAATAGGTGATGAATGACTCTTCATCTTTTACCACCAGTGGTCTAGGTCAGACAGGTCACTCTTCCGAGCCTCAGTTGCTGCCCCTTCCACATCCTCAGGCTCCCACAGATCCCCATGTGGACTTCAGCTCTTGGATGTATACTGCTTGCTATCTCCAGTACTGTACCTAAAAACAAGAAGAATAGACATTCATTCATTAAACATTTGCTAAGCACTTACTATGTCCTAGGCAGTGGATACAAAAAGAGGCAAAAGACGGTGCCAGTCCTTAAGGAGCTTATAGTCTAATGGGGGAGACAACATTGAAACAAATATATGCAAAGTAAATTATAAGGATAAATAGGAACTAATTAAAAGAGGGAAGGCACTGGAATTAAGAGGGGTTGGGAAAAGCTTTCTGTAAAAGGTGGGATTTTAGTTGGGACTTAGAGAAAGCCAGGGAAGTCAGTTGTCTGAGCAGAGGGGGGAGAGTGTTTCAGGCATGAGGGACAGCCAGAGAGAATACCCAGAGGCAAAAGATGTAATGTCCTGTGCAAGGAGGCCAGTGTCATGTGGTCAAAGAATACATATTGGGAAATAAGGTACACAAAGACTGGAAGGAGGGGGCTCGGTTATGAAGGGTTTTGAATGCCAAACAGGATTTTATATTTGCTCCTGGAGGCAATTGGAAACCATTGAAGTTTATTGATTAGGGGGTGGGAGAGACATGATCAGACCCGCATTTTAGGAAAACCGCTTTAGTGGCTAAATGGAGGCTGATTTGGAGTAGGGAGAGACTTAAGGCAGGCAGACACCCAGCAGGCTATTGCAGTAATCCAGGCATAAGGTGATGAGGGCCTGCACTAGAGTCACGGCAGTGTCAGAGAGGGTAAGGGGGCGTATTTGAGTTACAAAGGTGAAATTGGTAATAGCTTGGATATTGGAGGTGAGAGATAGTGAGGAATCCAGGATGACTCCTATGTTGTAAGCATGAGGGACTAGGAGAGTGGTGTTGGCTTTTATAGTGGTAGGGAAGGGAGGAGGAGGGGGAGGGTTCAGGTGTAAAGGTAATGGGTTCTGTTTTAGATATTGAGTTTAAGATGTCTACTGGACAACCAGTGTGAGATGTCTGAAAGACATTTGGAGATGTGAGATTGGAGGTCGGCAGAGAGTTTGGGACAGGACAGGTAGATTTGAGAATCATCAGCATGGAGATGGTAATTAAATCCATGACTGCCAATGAGATCATCAAATGACATAATATAGAGGAGGAAGAAAAGGGCCCAGAACAGAACCCTGAGGGATAACTATGGTTAGAGGTCATGATCTGGAGGAGGATCCAGCAATGGAGACAGAGAAGGTGCAGTCAGGTAGGTTAGAAGAGAACCGGGAGAGTGATGTCCGAAAACCTAGAAAGAAGGAAGTATTAAGGAAGAGAAAGAGATCCACAGTGTCACAGGCTACAGAGAGGTCAAGGAGAATTGAGGAAAGACCACTGGATTTGGCAACTAAGAAATTATTAGTAACTTTAGAGAGAACAGTTTTAGTGAAATGGTAAGGGTGGAAGCCAGATAGTAAGGGATTAAGAAGAAAGTGAGAGAAAAGAAAGTGGTGGCACCTATTTTAGACAGCCTTTTTGAGGAGTTTAGCTACAAAGGACAGAATAGTTAATGGAGACAGAATATTAACAGCAGGACCATGTGCTTACAAGACACATGGCAGTAGTCCTGGTAGAAGGATAAAAACCTGAGATTTTTGTCCTCCTAGAGGGTTTATTTCAGTCTTTGCCTCGTCATTCAAGTCTAGCCAGCCAAGAAATAGCAAGAGGTTCCCTTTAGATGTTTATTGTCTTTTGAATACATCCCAGTTCTGGTTCAGCAGTCAATCAAAAGTCCATCTCTTTACAACAGTCAGTGGACTAGAACCAGTTACAGAAGGCCTACACGTGTTCAAAAATCCAAATGGGTATTATATCGACTGGGTACAATGGACATACTAATAAGGATTGGACTTATTGGCTAATTCCCCATTGTGAGAAGTAACAAAACCTTGCTTGTCTGTGGCCCCTTTTGAACTTCGTTTTGCTCTCTTGTATTTTTAAAACTGTTTAGTTATTGGTCTTTTCTTCTTTTTTTTTTTGCATCATTATCAGTACCCACCAACTCTTTTCCCTCCATTAGAAGCTCTCCCATGTAATCAGTAAGAATAGTCAAGCAAACCAATTCAATACATTGGCTTAGTCTGTAAATGTATGTCTCATTCTTCAGGTCTCTGCCAGGAGGTGAATAATATTCTTCAAAATCTGTCTTCTGAAGTCACAATTGGTCATTTATCATACAGAGTTTTAGAATCTTTAAAGTTGGGATTTTTTTACATTATTTTGGTCACTATGTAAGTGCTATAGTTTTGTTCATTTTGCTGCATCAGTTCATACAAATCTTCCCAGGTTTTTCTGAATCGGTCATATTTGTCATTTCTTACAGTGAAATCATATTATATACGTTTTGTTCAGCCCTTCTCTAGTTTTTGGAAGAATTGTATCTCCCCCTCTCCTCCGATACAATTTGTTTCCAGTTCCCTGCTGCAGAAGAATTTATTCCTTTTGACTTCTCTACCTTGTCTCCCCGTTAATATCTTTGAGACTATTTCATCCCTCTCTAATCTCATCCCTCTCTAATACACATATCATACATTATCGTGCATTATAGATGTTTATATGTCTCTTAGAAGCAGTGTGACATAGTGGATGATGGACTGGCCTTGAAATTAGGAAGACCTCCTGCCCTTGACACATAATGTCACATAATGTGACTGTGGCAAGTCACTTAACTTTTCAGTGTTCTAGTCAACTCTCTGAAGACTGTGTTACAGATCATAGGACTGTATAGCTAGGGCTGGACGCCATCTCTGAGGCCTTCTAGTCAAACCTATTCGTTTTATAGACCAGGGTTCTTAAACTTTTTCTACTCACATCCCCATCAGCACTTCCCACAGTTTAAGAAGCATTGTATAGACCGCATGAGTTGCCATCTGCGTTGGTGAAAGGAGTTTCCAATAGTAGTGAAATCACAAGTCCAGGATAAAAGGAAAAAAACCGATTAGTTATGTATGTGATATCTCTCAATATATCATAAGTGCCATTAGGGCTTTGTGTCTATACCAACCCAGGAAACAAGGCTCTTCTCTGCACAGAATTAGTGCTTAATAAATGTTGATAGAATTGAATTGCAGAACAACCCAGGGCAGTGGTGAGACCAGGGAGAGCCAAGGACTTTCCATGCCCTGTCTCTGCTGCCTGAAGGGAGCCCCAGGTTGGGGGGGAGGGAAGGGGGGGAAGGGGAGGGTTGGGGAGGGAAAAAACAGGAAAGACAGCAATCATGGTCAGTGACTAGGATAAATAAGGAGAACGTGACCCAGAAATTTTTATCTAGAAAGTTATATCTGACTAAAGGTGATGGACAATAGTGAAAGTGCTGCTTGTGATAATTTAGTGGTTTTCTATTTATGTGAATAAAATGTAGCATATTATCATTTCTTAATTGATAGCTACATTTCTCTGACCCTCAGAGATCAAATTAGTCTAAACGTAGGCCAATTTTGCTATTTTTATGTATAAATTTTCTTTATAAAAGTGCTATATGCTTTCATAACTTTATTTTTTTAATTTGGGAATTTATGCCTTTTTTATAGGACTTACACATTATCTATTTTGTATTATTTTTTATCTGTCATTTTTTCCTCATTGGATGATAAACTTCTGATCTTAGGAGCTGAGTCTTATATATCTTTGTCTCTTCCCAACGTGGGAGCTTGGAAATAGTGGATTCTCACATTTTTGTTGAATGAATGAATGAATGAATGAATGAATATACAAATTACAGAACCTGAGAATGGTCCTCTCTTTAGGACCAACCTAAAGAGTTGGTCTCTGAATCAGAAAGACCTGGATTCAAGTCCCACCTCTGACAAGCGCTGGTTCTTTGGCTCTGGACGAGTCATTTAATTTGTTTGTGCTGCAAGCACATCTCTAAGGCTAAATTACAAAGAAGGTGTTGATCTTCATAGAGGAAGTTCTTCTCTGGGAGCTTCCTATACTGATGAAATCATAGATCCTGTTCAAATAAAAAGGTAATTAATTGGTAACTAGGTGGTAAGAAATGTTAAGAGAAAGTCATGGGAGAAGTTTTTAAATTCTACCCCAAAATTTATAGGATCTACTGCCCAATACAAATTGGAATTTTCTTTTAACTTGAACTATAAATCTAAAAAATTTCCTTCAGTCCTACTTATAGTCATTCTTGTAAGTAAATACTTAACAGTTAAACTTTTATTCATAGATTGAAATGCTTTGTGACATAATACCC